TGTGTCAGAAATGAATTCTGGAAAACTGACCCTGGATCTGCCACACATAATACAATCACATCTCAGTGGAAATCTGAAGTGATATCCCAACCTCTAGTAAACCCTCAGTGACTTCATTTGGCAATTATTAGTTTGATGTTGAAGAGTAGATGACATTCTCTTTAGGCCCATTAAAGAAACTCATATATAGTTTTATGGAAGAAATGTCCAGTTCAGTCTCGATTTACACTGTCTTGACTTTGTCCTGACCTCCTTCTGGACTTTACTGGACCTCATCTAAAAATTGTCCAGCTGATGCTGGCCCTATATGTGAGAGAGAGTGCAAGTGTAAACAATGTTCGTCTTCTGTCCTTTCCACTACCCTGCTGATAGCTACCCTCTAGTCTACTTTACACTGCTGTTTTCATCCTCTTTGATTCCCTGGCTCAGATAAAGGCTTTCCCACCATCCCAGAGGCCCCCAGGATGCCTCATGAGCTCCCCCCTCTGTGAGCTCTTGTCCCTGGGTACCATGTGTATGAGGCCCCCCCACTCCTGTCAGCTTGAATCACCCTCCTCTCTCGCTCAACATGCTGCTCTCACCACTCCCAGCTGCGCTGCTGTGTTTGTGGCACCAGCAAGTGTGAGTAGATGCTATTGAGACTGACCTTTGCAGCAGCGCCCTGTGCTCTATGATTCTAACCCATTTGACAGTGAACGTCTAACAGAATGCTAATGAAGTAGTTTTGCATAGTAAGACGTTATGTTGGCTCCATTGTAATTATCTGAGTTACTATCCCTGATGCCCATGATGCATATTGTTTGATTAATAAACTGAATTACTGTCACGCACAACACCAGGTTCTCTGTAGCAGGTCAGAAATTACTCATGATGCATGCTCATAAAAATGTCTAATGATTGTTGCGATGAATATGATCAAACAGTAACACTTGTTGCAAAGCAGCACATTTCTTGTTCCCTATATTTGAGGCAAGTCATACCCCCCCCCCCCCCCAGTCTCATTTAAAGATTTGACAGCGAGCCATAAGAGATTCTTCCATCAAGAGATGTTTTCCATTTCCTTGCTCCTCACTGAGGTTCTTTCATTTGTATTGGAAGAAATCATTTTGTGAGTGTAGCAGGGAGAGCCCTGGCTAATGCCTCCTGAATGCAGCCTGAATTATAAGGAAAAAATAAGTCCATCCATTACTCTGATGGTTAGCCAGGCAATTTTGAAGACATGTCTATAGAAAAAAGGCAAGATTCATCATAAGGGCTGTGTCTGTGTGCTTACACCTCCCATGATGTGGAGCAGCACTTAAATTTCTCCAGTCACTTGAACATAAACAGATCTATGAAAAAAGGATATGTCCTTAATAGAATGTATGAGTAGCTGTACAAAAGTTATCGAATAGAGGAAAAATATATTACAAAGTGTGAAGCATGGAGAACTGGTGCATTAACAAAACAAATATCTAAAATTTAAATTGTCTCTGTTGAGCGTTACAAAGCGTGCATGCCTGCTAACCCTGCCCATTCAGTAAAAGTTACAGATTGGTATGTTTCAACACTTTAGTCACACGAATACCCTGCAGAAAATGTTAATCACATTATGTTTACCACTAAGTGTTTGTTAAGTGGATGAGTTGCTTCAGCATTCTCGCTTGTTTCAATATGTGCATCGGCAATTTGCGACGGAGACTGTACAGTTTAGGGTTCTTTAATGTATGTTTCCACTGGCTTGATGTGACTGCAGCTGATTCCGGGCCAGTACACTTACCCGAGGCAGAGTGCCAAGGCGTAATGAGACATTTGGTTGTGAAATTCAGAATCTGACAGAATGCATTAAAGCCAAGCAGACTGCAGATGCAAAGGGAGCAGCCAGGCCAAAGTGATGACTTCTCATTTCCCACCAACTGTATCATATTTCCTTTTGCTTCCAGCCAAACAAATGACCAAACTGTGCAGTGACTGTCCCATTGTTTGGACACAGATTCCTATTGGTCGTCACAGTAGATGCATCGGATACATCTGACAAAAGCAATTACTGGTCATGTCACTGGTGTTTTTTGCCGATCACCTGCTGAAAATTTTTGAGCTGAGTATATAAAACTAGCTTTGGCGGCATGTTTTGTTTTGTTTTGTTTTGCAGAAGCTACATAAAGAATTCATTTCTAGTAAGGTCATCTTCTTGACATGGCAGGACCTTCCACGTCGCTCACACTGAGTCCCGAGGTCAGGGTGTCCTGCCCAGGCTTTTTACAGCAGCAGCGTGCCCTTGTGATACCAAACAAACACACACTACAGTATGTGACAACTATGATCTTTGGGAACAAATAATGTGACAGCTTCTCAAGCTCCCAGGCAGCCAGCTCTGCCCCGCAGGGAATGAATGAATCTGATTTTTCATGTTTCTGAAATGGTTAGATTGAGCTTGGACACAAGGTCGGATGTAAAGATGCAGCCAGTTGTTTTTTTTTACATGCCTGCTACAATGCTGTCTTTGCCCTGCTAGTGATACCACTGTAAATGCACATATACCAAACAACCTAAATGATCAATCAATACATGTATGGAAAAGAATTTTAAAAAACTACCTGTTAGAAAATGGGTTGCAAATGAGGTTGTGTAAATTCCATGTGGATAAGTAGATTGCTACACATCTATGAATAAGTGATCAGCCTGTTCACGTCCTTCGGGATTTACTAACAAAAAAAAGCAATCAGACACAAGCATTATGCAAAAGAAAAGAAGCACTCGAAATTCATGACTACTGTACTGGCCTCTCTCCTGTAAATTTCAAATGGGCAACTCAGGACAAGGACACAACATCTGAATCACAGAACAGATGTTCTCAAGCAAGAAATACTCTCCTCACTATTCAGATATAGTGGATACCTGGGGACACACAGATCAGAATAGAAGGCGTTTTAAAATACGGTGGACGCCTGGTCAAGAAATGACCTTTAGCTGAACTCCAGCAGTGTCACAAATAGGCTCATTCTGATTTAGATGCTTTCCTCCAGCATCCCTCGGGCAAAAATAGAGAGGAAAACAATAGGACAGTCAAATGTATCCTAATTCCAGCTGGAGACGCTAATCCAGTTCAGAGACAGCAAGGAAATGGGCTTGCGAGAGCAGACCCGGCAAATACATGCAGATGAGAATGATTATCCTGCAGATGAGCGGAAAGATGAAAACTAATTTAATAATAAGACCAGAAAATTCTCCAAGATAACAGGGATCTAGAGACCAATCCAAGACCCATCTGGCCTGCACTGCACACACACACACACACAAACCCGAGCCATTTCAGACTAGGCAGGAGCTGTCCATTTAAACCGTGGTGCTGAAAGCTGGAGAGCAATGTGAACCAACAATTTTACAGTACAATTGAAAAACTAGAAATTGTTGTATTATGGATGTTAATTAGACTGATTAGTACATTTTAGAGGTACTTGAGAAGCCTGTATATTACTTGAGTATTTTCCTTTTTTCTACTTTCTACTTCCCTTCTACTGCATTTCAGAGGAAATATTGTGCTTTACTTGTTAGTTCCAGTGGTGGTATGTGAGTACATTTAATCAGGTCCATTTTGAGGTACTTGCGCCAGTATTTTACTTGAATATTTCCACTATATGTTACTATATATCTCTACTGCACTACATTTCAGAAGGAACAATTGTACCTTTCAGTTTTTACATTTGTTTGAGAGCTACGCTAACTGACTACTTCCAGTAGTGGACTGTAACTGAGTACTTTTATTCAGGTTCTGTACTTAAGTATATTTTGAGAAAGTTGTGCCTGTATGTTATTTAAGTATTTCTATATTATCTACTTTCTACTTCTACTTCAATACATTTCTGAGGGAATTAATGGACTTTTTACACTACAACATTAGTTTGACATCATGCCTAACCAGTTACTTCCAGATGTGGTATGTAACTATGTACATTTATACAGGCGCTGTATTGAAGTGCCTTCTGAGGTACAGTTTAAAATGCTAATTCACTTCCTATCTATACCTTTTAGTTACTTACTAGTTCAGCGCACCAATGTACACTAGTTTGGTGTACTCTGAATCTGAATTTGGCAGACCACACCCAAAACACACCCACACAGTTCTGATGAAACATATTAACTCTTTGAGTGTTAAACTTAAATACTACCTTTAAAATATGCTTACTTTAAACTTTGTGTCCTGACAGTTGTGTCCTGCTATTTATGTAATTAAGCATTTTTTAACTGTTTATACACAGTTAAGAATGCTGCATAAACTGTTTTATGTTATACAGGAGTGGCTGATAAATAGGACATTGATAAACACCTAAATGGTGAATGTTAATGTGATCCAAACAGAAAATAAGTGTTACCACCATATCTCATAAATGCATGATTAGTCACTTTGTCAGGGTATCCTCACATTAACCACACCATTTGTGTCACTGGGAGGGTTTCAAGCTTATTTATCTTATTTATCTGTCAAAATATGCATTTCTTTCATCTATCTGCTTGTACCTTGGCAGAACACCTACTGTACTAAGACACACTTGAGTAATATATACCTTTTCTGGGGGCGGATTACAAAGCAAATTACCTTGTCACGTCGTACACCGCCCTCTAAACTGAAACTGCACTTTTGTACAAGTATAGACTTCAGCCTGGCAGGAATAAAATACAGAATACCTTCCTACACTGTCTGTGCTTTGTCTTTTCATTTGTTTAACATTTTTTAGGTCATTGGGAATATGTACAACTCTGTAAAACACTGCTGTGTCCCAGATTTTGCAGGTCATTATGGTAAGAGGTTATTGATATGTGTATTACTGTACAGGTGCACTAAACCTGGTGCTAGATCTGCAAAAGAGTGTGAGGATGTGTGTAAAAAAAAAAGTTTATCACAAGTTTTTTTTTTGTTTTTTTTTTAACCAGAGATAGACACATTTGAAAGAGTTGTGCATGTAAAAACACATTGTTAGGTTGTGCTAATGCTGAACCATTAACAGTCACAGATCGCTTACCTTGCCAACGTAGAGTGGTTCATTCCCTGTGTACTCCTCCAACACGAAGAACTGGTTCCATACCCAGCTGCGTTTGTGCCTGTGCAGGGTCTCCCAGGGGTCTGGATCAGAGTGTGGGGACTTCTCCAGATCCCCAGAGCTGGGATTCAGCCCCCAGCAGCCCCTCTCCCACAAGGGAAACAAGAGTGCCAGGAGAGCCAGGGCTCTGCATATGCCTGAGCAGCACCACCCCATCATCTGGGCCCCCTCCAAAAGGCAGTGAGGCCAGAAGAGGAGCAAAAACTAAAAAAAAGACAGTAAGGCTGAAATGTCAAAACCCTCAGGGTTTTATCCACACAGTCCTGACCCTTTGTTTCACCAGAAAGCAAGAGCAGTCAGACCCTGAAAAGAGTGCATGGGTTGAATAGAGTCAAGCTCTGCATTTTGCTGTGTTGCGCTCCCTTTTTTCCTGATTGGAGACTAAAAGTGGGGTAATTCCCTCCACTTTGGAGCCAGGGAGTTGACATTAAAGCTGGCTAACAGGGTCAGTGGCAACCGGGCAGGCTTTAACACACAGGCTGTATAATTGGCACCTATCAGGAGAGAGAGAGAGAAAAAAAGACAGAGACAAAGACATAGAGGAGAGAAGAGAGAAAGTACCGTCAGCAAAATTGCCTCTGTGACCGCAGTCACTTTAGACAGCAAGTAATGTGCTTGCTGATGCAATGATAATGACATTTTTCACCAATCATAAAGAAAGTGGTCAAAATGAAAAGACAATAAATATAGTACATAATATCAACATAACGTCCTTCACGAACACACACTCACCTACACACATGCCAAAGAACAACAGGATGAGGTCAAAATGTTAGTAAGGGTAAGACGGAGGGAGAAATTATCTGGCTTTTCAATGCATATAAGCAAAGAGATTTCACAGCAAATGAAACAACAGTGGCTGCGTGGAATAACAATCAAACGCTATTCCGCTGGCTCCCAATTATCTGGGCTTTACCTCACCAAGGTCATTATTTTGTCACATTTTCTTTGTATAAGATCATGGCGTGATGGTGGCGGGGCTCGCCACTCAACACTAACAAGCCACATGATCTGTGTGGTAAGCTCTCATCACCGAGATTAAAAATAAATCTGAGCTGTCAGCAGCATGATGGCCCGAGCGCTCCTGACCTCTACTCCGAGCAGTCTGTTTGCTGGCCTGAGCACATGCAAGAGGGATCTGTCTCCCTGCCGTCGTCATGCCATGACAGATCCCCCAAGATGCCAGAACATGAAGACTTGTCAAAGCAAAGACAAGCATCCGCTCCTGACAGATAATGTTCTTTGTGTCACAACACATCCTGGCAGTCCTGAGTAGTTGAGCAATTACGGAAATTTCGCAGTATCTCTGGTATTATCTGTCTGATTTGACACATAACGATGACTTCAACAAATTCCCTCAATAAATATTTTGAAGGAGGAACACTCCACACATGAATCAGTGAAGCTGTGCAGTGGAGCTCTCTGGCAAATGTATGCAATATCTGGGGGTGATACTGATTCAGAAATGCCTTTAAAACTTCAGGAGGTCTTCTGAAAGCAGACGTTTAGAAAACAGAGAGCTTGACCGCACGTATATTTATTTTCTCTGTGACCTCTCTTTCTCCCTCCTCTACGCTGAGTATTGGCAGGGCCCTGGATGAGGAAGGTAATTGCTTTGGCATAAAGTGACCTCTTTCTTCCCACACAGATTCTCCAGTTCTCATTTCACTTCCTCTCTGCCCCCCCCCCCCTCCAAGCAAATAAAAACTGCACACCACACATCCTCTGGAAGTGATTTGTTGTACTTCGCCACAGCAAAGTCATTATCCAGTGCTAATTATTAAGACAGAAATAGATCATAACAGCTTGATTGCCGCCTCTGCAGACACCTAGATGCTTGTGAGAAGCATCTTCAACGTATGAGGATTTATTTAAAAAATGCCTCACTTTTAAATGTTCAAATTAATAATGGAAGCATCTTGAAATGCTTGCCCCCCCCTCCCCCCCCCCAAGGTGCAGAAAGCACACAAGCCCCTACCAGGCGAAACTTTATCCAAGCAGCCAAAAAAGCTGTGGAAACATTCATCCTGATCTGCTTGTGCTTGTAATATGAATTAGAATACAATGACCCTACACATTAAGGCTGTAACACATAAATGTGCACAGAGCAACGCACGCACAAGTCCCTGCCTCTGCATGACAATTTAATGGTAGAGGTGGAAAGTGGAGCAGATCTGACTGCAGGGCAGAACGGGTTGCGAAGGCAGGTTGCAGCAGTGGTATTGTGGCAGAGAGAATCAGCGCAGGGTCAGTTTGAGCCCAGCAGCCAAGTTAATGCTTCTCATTTCACTAAACCCTCAGCACTAGAAGAGATGGGAGTCAGCTATAGACAGGAGATAACACTAATGTAGATGTGGCCTCAGCAGTGTGATCAATAAGGCAGATATTGCCTTGTTATTAAATGAGTTTCTGCTGATTTACTGTCTGGTTGATTGGGCCAAATCATTAAGCAATTCATGCCGCAGAGAAATCAATTGTTTCAATACATTTTAATTGTTAATCATTTTAAAAGCGCATAACTTCAAATCTGGCATGAAATGAAACGCTCTCCTCGCAAATAAAGACACACAAATAGAAAGAGATGGATTCGACAAGTAACTTTTTTCTCATGAGGACTTCCATTTCTTCTTCCTGTTGGTGTCAGGTGATTGACAGTAAGCAGAGCGTAACGAAACGCAGCGATGATATGAAAACACTAAACTTGGGCACAATGAAGTGACATCGAAACAGGATAAAAAAAAAAAACGCTGGCAAAAACCAAATGAAGGCATCGCGTCGGCTGTGATGGATTATCTCACTCGGTGGAAGTTGTTTTTCACACAGAACAGGAGGGGAAACCAGGCCTGATGTTTGCAAGTATGATGACTGACTGTGGAGCCAAAAAACAGGAAAAATGTCAAGAAGAAGGGTAAACTCGAGGACTGGTATAAATGTGAATAAAGTAGGGGCACTGTGCTTTAACAACAAGATATCAAACTGTCTATTATTCTTCATTTAAAGACAGTTTTACCCTTCTGCCTTAAAGCACTGGCAATGTGTTGGTGCCAAATGTTCTAAATGCTTCACTTGGTTTTCTGCCCCGCAGAGAAAATCAAACTGATGCTTTTTCTTATCATTTCAAAATATTCAAATATCAGCACCACATATCATCTTCTAGCAGACCCAGTGTAGCAATACCAGTCTTTTCAAAAGGGTCCACATTTGACTTCCTGTAGAGAGAAGCAGACTCATTGTTGGGCAGTGTTAAAGTGACGAGGCTAAATTAAGCGAAAATGTGAGATAAAGCCGTGAATGTAAAGCCTCCCAGTCATCCCCCGGCTCTGTTTCTCTTACACACAGTGTTCTAATCCCATTTGCCAGTCTCACAACAGGATTACCAGTGCTACAGCGCTCAGTAACCAATCACACTCTTCCTCTGATCCATATTCTCCTCAATCACTGTGTACGTTCAGTCTCTTCACTCATGGGCGAGAATACATGACACAAACTGGCTGTTTATAGTGTAATTTGAGTTTGAAGTATAGTCTCCTTCATTTTGAATCATTTGATTAAAAAAACAGCATGTAGATCAGAGTTTCTGATGCGTTTTTAAGAGATTTGAAGTTCTGTTTGTAATATGAAATGGCAACGTATGAGCAGTTTTCATATAATGTGGCACTTCACTGACTCTTCCTGGACCTTCCCTCTTTGTTTGTCTCTTTCCGGGGAAATCAGAGCACGGGGTCAGCTACAGAGAGACAATAACCCCCGAAGCTGGTGGGTCTTCAAGGACACTAACAGTACATTCAGACCTGAGTCTTGCTGACACAGGAGGTTGAATCCGAGTCAGGGGCTTGAAGGGTGGTCGCTCCACTCATAGATTTCTGATACCTCATCTCTTCATTTAAATTCATCTTGCATCCTTCGCTAGTAGATCTGAAGCTGACTGTGTATGTTTTCACATGCTGCATCGGAAGACACATTGCAACATCTGTAAAGAGTTCACTGAGGCATTTATAAGTTTAATACACATGCTGTTTGTTAACAAAGACAGGAATTTGCCTTTTCTTCTGTTAAATCACAGTTGCGTAATAAAGCACGTCTGCCCACCAAACAGCAAAAGGATAACTGATAGATGAAAAAGGCTGAGGTATGACAGTCATTCATTTTAATTCACACATATGTGATAAAAGCAATTTTAGGATTGTGTTTTTAAAAAGTCCTTAAACTGAGACCTTACATTCAACACATGTACATAAATATCCCTTCCTGTCCTCGCAGTGATAATATAATTTATAAATCCTGCTGATGGGTTGTGATCATACTGCACATTTCACTTACTATAGTGACTATAAAGCTTAAAGGCAACAAAAACAGTTTTGCACAGTCAGAGATTTCATATGTGATGCATTTTGCTTAAAAATAAACTTGCACTGCAAGAAAGTCATTTTATTGTGTATTGATCCGTTTGTCATCTTTTTTGTCCTTAAACAAGTGGATCTACCCATTTCTGGGACACACTTATTCCCTCTGCAGCTATTAGGTCCATGAATTTCCTGGAAACATGTGGAGGTATATTAACCTGAAATAGGGCAGAACTTTAAATAATTTAATTAACTTCATCCCTAATTTGATTAAATATAAGTTCATTTTTTACCCTGCTTGCAGTTTTTTTTTTCTCCACAGAAATTACTGACAGATTTGCAGCCCAGTTCGGTAATCTTTGATATGGACTCTTTGCAGTGTAAATCATCAGGTACCCCTGTGCTCTGCTTTGCGCACCGATGTGACCTGACTGCTTCACCCTCCTGTTTGTATCAATCATTGCGCATTAGCTGTCAACACCTGCAGAAAAAGTTCGCAGGACGCACCTGTTCTCGAATCGATAGAATTCGTTTTTCTCAATACAAAAATAACCCGCTTGCATCATTAACACAGATCGATTAAATATCTTAACAACTTCGGGGTCTAGAAAAATAAAACGGAAGAGGATGGTGGCAAATAAACACATGACGGGGACTGAGCAGTACGGAAACACCGTCAGTAAAAATCTCTGTGAGCGACCGCCGCAGGAAACATGTGTCCATGGAATACTAATGACAGCATAAGCGACGGGACAAAAATGCACAGAATACATAAGCAGAGCATAATTGAACTGAAATGCAGTGTGGGACTGAAAAACAAAACTGGGCACACGATTGCAACGGTCCTCGCTGCGCTTTGAAATCTATTGGCAGTACTCACCAGAATAAGACGGAATAACTTCACCGCCGCACAGATGGTGTCTGGTGGTAAAAGTTGTTGGGTTTTTTCTCTCCATGCACCACGAACAGGAAAGCAGCTTATGTCGAAATAAAGAGTTTAAAAGTTTTCATGATGAAATTAGTCCTGATGGCAGAGCAGGGCAGCTGGAGATCGCCCACTGGATCGCGCGTAAATGCTCTCACCCTTGGCTGGGATGTGACAAGTCTGAGCACCCCCCCCCCCTCCCCCCTCTCTCTCGCTCTCTCTCGCTCTCTCTCTCCCTCTGTCTCTCTCTCTCTCGCTCTCTCTCTCTCTGTATCCTGCGCAGTGCCGCCTCTGTGCAGGGAACCCCAGCTGCAGGGTTTTGGGTATGTATCTATCTCTCTCTTACATAGGCAACAGGGGATGCGCAGCAGCGAGGAGTCAGAACACCGGACGAGACAGGAAACGCTCTCGTGTGAGCCAAATCCTAGCTGACTAGATTGGAGAGAGCCTATCGAAATAGTTTGACCAAAATAAGTTGGCGAGGAGGGAGCCAGAAACACACGCAGCGTTTTGGCAGTGAGAAAGAAGAACCGAATTTTCAAACCTGCCAAGTTTTTGGCAGCAGATGGCATGTGTCCTGTTAAATGAGTACCTTGCTGGTGAAAAGAAAATCAATACAAAATTCTTGACACCTTCTTCAACCCATGATAGGGATTTAACAGCCCCCCTCCCCTGACACACACACACACACCACCACCACCACCACCTTGAGAATTAATTAAATCCTGCAAGCCTCAAATAAAATCATTCCTTTTTTTGCAAATAGTTGCATTATGTATATTCTCATTCAAGGTTCAATTGGACATGGTTCCATCACTTTTTTCCCTTGCATAATTCACACTTCCCAAATTGACTTTTAAGTGTACTTCCACATAGTAATCTGGGCTCCTGTTTCTATTTGTTTTTCATCCAATTAGCTCCAAAGTGAGCTCCTGTGGTGACAGAAAAAAAAATGCAGCGTGAGGCTGCCATCTCTGAACTACTGCACCTCTATACTCGCAGACCTTTGAAACTAACCAGTATTACTTACATTGCTAATTAGTGGCAGTATAAACATACATGCATGCACCAGCATCTCCAGTTAATAACACATGCATTTGCTCAGAATATACGATCTTTCTCCCTTCGAGCCTTGTCAGTGTAACCACCTTGAACCTTTACTACTTTTATACTATATACACCTGTTCTCACATAAGAAAACATTACATTTCACTTTAAAGCCCTGATCATTAGTCACCCAAAGATGATCTCTTTCTGTGTATTTTTCCCCATGCTATTTGCATTTTTGAGACAGAATGCATTACAATTGTGCAGCTCCTTTCATCTCCTCTGCTCTGTCATTTAGGAAAGGGAGCACTGACCCAAACTAATAGAAAGAGCAGCCTCTGTCTGTCATACCTGGAAGAGCAGTTAGCAAAGCTGAAATTAGAGACACGGGACAATGGACAGGTAAAAATAAGATACAGTAAACTAGTGAGAAAAGAGGAAGAAGAATGTCAGAGACAAAGGGAAAGGAGCTAAAGAAAGAGAAGTTAAAGGAAGATAATGTCAATAAGATAAAAGGAAGGAGAGCATAGAAAGCTGGACTAAATAAAAACTCAATTTAAAGGGATATAGAGTACAGAGGGAGAGTGGGTGTGTGATAGTAGAAAGAGAGGTGAAAGGGAGGAGAAGAGGGAGGTGTATTGCAGGAGGAGGGGAGGCTGCAGTTCAGTGGTGAGAGTTATTTAATTGGAGAGTGACATTGGGAGCCCGGCTCGTCAGCTCTTCCCCATCAATCACGCACGGTCAGGAGATGCCTGAGGTGATGTGGCCCGCGCCCCGCTCCCTCCGGATCTCACGGCCGGCCCCGGCATTTAACCGCCATGCCTCCTTTACATCCCCTCCAATCCTTATCCACCACCCCACCCTACCCCCTCATCAGGATGCTCTGACCTCCACTCACCTGGCCTACTGTTATCTGCTCCCCTGTGACACACCGCTTGATGGGTCTCTTTGTTCACAGACTAACAAGAAAGACTGTGAAGGGATAGCGTATGGAACATTCATAAAATATGACCTCCAAGGACAATCGGGTTTGATTTTTGCATAACATTTGCCACTACTGCATCTCAGTAGCTGCATTCTGAACAAGTTGTTGCTAAAATAAGGTCAGATGAATTGAAGTAAAAATTTGCATTTGAACTGATTTTAAACAAGATGTTATTTAACACGATTAAGTAAGCCTACAAAAAAGTTGATATTGTTAGCCTAAAACACTGTTTGCCTACAGTTGAACTGTCAATGTTTTTCCCTGGTTTGGTCAAGTTTGCATACTACCACCTGGAATGGCTGAAGCTGGACTTTAGTTTTAGTTATAGCCTAACTATTTAACCCATTACTTTGAGATAATTAAACTAGCACCACAAGATGCAAACCACTCATCAGCAGTAAGAATCGGAAGGCCAGATTGAAATTTGCAAAGAAGTACAGAGATGAGCCGCAAAAGTTCTGGAACACAAACTTATGGACTGATGAGACCAAGATTAATCTCTACCAAAGTGATGGAAAGGCCAAAGTGTGGAGAAAGAAAGATACTGCTTCTGATCTGAAGCATACAAGCTCATCTGTGAAGCATGGTGGAAGTAATGTCATGGCTTGGGCGTGCATGGCTTCTAGAACAGGCTCATTAATATTTATTGATGATGTAACTGTATTTCAAACATTGATCCATTACCAATTAACAATTTCAATAGTATTGTTTTTTACTTTTGGCAAACAATGTCAACTGTATCCATTACTTTTAGCTAACTATTTTAACACTTTCTTTTAGCTTACAATTTCAACCACCAACAAGTTACTTTTTTTCAATCAAATTGTAATTCCTATTTTTTTTTATTAGTTGAGCTACTCTACAATCTTATACCTCCTGACAACTGCAGACATTGGGCCCAGTACATGGATAATATAGGGATCAATACTAACAATAGTGAAAGAAGTTGATAAATTAATCAGTAATGTTAAGTGTTGTTCAATCTGACCTGCTAAAAGACAGTTGACATTAAAATTCCAGTAACTGCCTTTTACTGCCATTGGAAACAGATGATTGTAAGATTGACTGGCCAATTTCAGCTCTGAACAAGGTATTGATTTCCCCAGTGGACATTTAAAGAAAACATGTTGCTCACAGCTAAAGAGCTGTCATAACATATGTTATCTTTGCACTGCGCAGATAAAGCACTAAACAGACACATGAGTAATAATAACGATGAGAATTGCCACATATGATCTGGTTCTTCTTATTATGCAGATAAGAAAATACACAGTTGAATTAATTTTGATTCAAGTTTTTATGTTTATGAAAATAGAATTCACTACACTGCATCAGCCTTCGCGTTCTTTAGTGCTGGCGGAGCAATGATTCAAAGCAAGTGACCTTTTTCACACCATGATCTTGACAGTGGGCTCCTGATTTATCATCAAACTGAATTCCATTTAGTGGTTGTTTTAATTCATCTCTGACTCCTTCTCTGCACTATAATTACATGGAGACATTTGCAGACAAGTCAAAATGCCCCCTTAATTGTTTTTTATTTTATTTAAATTCTTTTTGCTGATTGATTTTTCTTTCTGTTGAGCTCAGACACATCAGGAGCAGTCTCAGCGAGGCTCAGCCAGTGTGGGTTTTGCATAGCACACAGTATGTGAACATGCATCTCAGTACATGGTGTTCATAAAACAGCAGAGAGCAGGGATCAAAGGGAGCCAGAGGGGCCTTGATGTTCAAGGGACAAGGCCAGGGAGTTGACGTCCCCCTGACTCCGGCACCATGTCCAAAATACAAAGACTGATGCAGACTTATTTGCATATGCTGCATCAAAACATTCCTGCCCCTTCTTTTTGAGAAGCAGGGATTTGGACTAATCATTCAGCAAGTATTGAGCGATTACATTTTCATCAGATGCAATGTAAGAGGGTCGAAAGATCAAGTGAACTAATGGATGACCTAATCATGGGGGATAGGCTGTATCGATTCAGATGGTCATATCCTCATTGTCTGTCAGGCCACTGAGTCTGAAGGCGGATACAATCCCTCACTGGCTGAAACCACCATATTCAAGAAACCCTCATTCAGATTACACTAATTTAGCCCATACCTCTCCTGTTCCCCTGGGGGTTAAATAGATTACGGGGGAGGAATGGCAATCTTGCTGAGTTGCAGCTTAGAACTTGTCTTCCAGAGGATTAGACTTTAAATAATTTCATGTAACAGGTTTTTATCAACCATACTTTTATATTTTTCTCATATTTCTTCACAAGGAGATTCTGCAGTGTACAATAACTCTGCTTATGCTCTCCATATATAAATTGTTTTGATCCTCACTGATATACAGTGTGTTGAAAATGTTGTCATGCTCGCAGATGCAATTTTGCACACAAGCAAAATTATGACTTGGTGGTTGGTGACACTGGCTGCCAACACCGCAGAGACAGTCATTCTTCAAGGACAATCTTCTGCATCTGTGTGAATAATCAATGTTACTGAAAGTTTATCATGAACTCATGGCATTTTTCATATATAGCAATATCGCTTCTGCAAAGCGCATCTAGAAGTAAAGTGACATTCATTCTACCACAAGAAGATTGAGACAGAGAACCCTTAAAAGAGAGAAAAAAAATATAAAGGTAAATACTTGAGATAGATAACAGGAAAGTAGAGAGGTCATTCTCAGCAATTTCCCTCCAGACACGTCACAGCAGGTTCTGAAAGAGAAACGTCTCACTGCAGACAGACATGTTCATTCACCACAGTTTGTGTCGACTGAGACAGAATCCTGATCCGAATCCTAATGACAAACCAACTTACTAGCATTCATTGGTCTGTGTGTCACAGGGCGGGAGAGCAGTTGCAGCTTGGGTTGTGTTCTCAATTCACGCTCAGATCTGCACCTACAAAATTTCTGCCAAAGGGAAATAAGGCTGTTAGAGGAGGTCCCCCTTGTCAACACGGCCAACATGATATACTGTAATATACACTGTATTTGATTCATAGTTGTTTTTCCTTTGACCAAAAAAGGAAATGTTTAAAGCTCCCCACCATGCCTGTCCGTGCAAAGCACAAAATGGAAAAGCGACAAAATCCGTGACTAGCAAGTAGTGAAAGTTAAAGCAGCTAAACAGCCA